TCCCTATCCCACCTCATGGGCCAAGTTTGACCCTTGACTTTTTGGGCTAAGCATGAATGAATGCTGCTTGGACTAAAGAATGGTGATCGGAGATCCCTAGTCTCTGGTCTCTAGGGGAGGACGGGGACGTTGAACAAGTGCCATTGCAATTGCAAGCTTCATTGCTTTTCTGGCGAGTATGGGGGAGTTATGCCCATCTTGCAGCAAAAGATATACTGGAGGAATAAGACTGCTGCTCTGCATCCTGCCTGGACTAGCAGCTCCTGCATCGTGAGGGTCAGCAGTTCCAAACTACAAACAAGGATGATACCTCTGCAAAGAGATTGGCATTCAACTCTTGGCAGGCATCGGTCCCACACGTTCCCTACGGACTGTGGCCATAACTCTCCAATGCTTCTCTAAAGGATAAAGCTGGGTGATTATCTCCCCCCCTGCAATTCAGAATGAGAAAAATGTTTGGGAGTGACCTTTTTTTTTTTTAAATCCAAATAGCTTTTGAGTGTTTATAATTAATCTCCTTTTTAAATGAAAAGTCCAAACATTTGGCTATCTGAGAAAGAACACACACACTTGGACTTGAAATGTTTGGTTTTTCAAAGTACCGCTGAACAATTTCAGTCCCCCCAAGGCTCCTTTTCTCAGCAAGAAACTAATACATTTTTTACCAACTCTACTGCAGAGAATGGGATATGGCGACCAAAAGGTTAAGGCATCTTGTTGTGGATCCACACATGCGCGTATGACTTGTGCTCCTCCAGACACATGCTGAAGGGTCAGTAAACCCAGCTTTAAGTTTACTTGGGCAGTCAAAGGCAACCAGGTGTGATGCTGTCCACATCAGTCCCTTGCGTGCTAACGGCTGTGAATCCCAATATGCCTTAACCATACCAGCCGAAAGGGCCATTAGGCTTGGAATTGACCTTGATTTAAGTTGAAGACTGAGAAAAAAATAGCAATACTAGGACCTAAAAGCATGAACACCCAAGCAGTAGTCTCTTAGTCTGATGAGTAAGGGAAGCCAGCCCTATAAAGACGTACCCATGTTCCAAGCCCTCTTTGAAGTCTCCAACGTGGTTACGTCCATCAGGCCACTTCAGCGTCCCCCTGCAATTCACAGCAAGCATCAGAGAAGCTCATCATCCTCTTTCTGATTCTCTGACTTAAGCTAAAACACAAAGGACTATGCATGCCCTTGCTCCAAGACACTTGTCACTAGGGTTGGGAATCTCTCTCTTGGTATAAAAACTCAGGGAAGGTCACAGATTCACAGATATTTCGGGCTAGAAGGGACCTCATGAGATCATCAGGTCCAGCCCCCTGCTCTGGGCAGGAAAGACTGTGGGAGTCAAATAACCCCAGGCAACGTGGGCGTCCAGTCTCCTTTTGAGGATGTCCAAGGTAGGTGCCTGCTGGGAGTCTAGTCTGAACCATGCAGAAGTATTTCCTTATATCCAGTCTGAAACTTTCTAGGAGTTTATGACCATTGCTCCTGGTTTTCCCCTGGGGCGCTTTGGTAAATAGTTGTTGGCCGAGCTCCTGATGCTAGGCCAGAATTTGGAACAGGTTTCCAAGGGAGGTGGCGCTCTCCCTTAGCTTGGGGGTCTTCAAGAGGACACTGGATAGGTACCTGGCTGGCGTCGTCTGACCCCAGCGCTCTTTCCTGCCCAGGGCAGGGGGTCGGACTGGATGATCTGTTGAGATCCCTTCCAACCCTAGCAGCTATAAATCTATGCTCTCCCTTCATTTATTTGCAAGCTGCCACCAAATTCCCCCAAAGTCTTCTCTTTTCTAGGCTGAACAGTCCCATATCGGTCAGCCTTTCCTCGTATGGCTTGCTCTTCAGGCCTCTAATCATATAAGTGTCTCTTCTCTGGACTCTCTCAGCATGTCCACATCCTTCTTGAAATGCGGCACCCAGAGCTGGATGCAGTGCTCCAGCTGTAGCCTCACCAATGCCGAGGAGAGTGGGAGAATAACGTCCTTAGTTTTGCTTGAGATGCATCGGTTGATGCACGCCAGTGTATTGTTTGCTCTGCTAACTGTAGCATCACACTGGTGGCTCATATATTCATTTTATGGTCAATTATGGTTAATTAGGTCTAAGACTGTTCTCCAGAGTACACATATCGACTCAAGCGTTTGCGCCTTGGTGCAGAGCTAGGAATCAATAAAGAAAGGGCACTCATATCCAAAGCATTTTTTATAACCATGATTTCATTCTGCCACGATGATATTCATGGTCTCATTGCAAGTCCAGCATTTCAGGGAACTGAGCTGGGCAAATCCAGTTAAGTAACACTTTTGATATATTTGCTGCGATTCGAGACTCAGCTCACTTCACAGTCGCCATGTCAAGGCTGGGATGATGCTATTACTTTGGGCGTTTTCATCAAGGTGTAAGTGCTGGTTAGAGACAACTCTTTGTTGCAAGAGCTAATCAAGTTTGAATCCTCAGAAATGTTTAGCAACCCAAATAAGCAAAGCCCAGCAAATTTGGTTTGTGAAAGTATTCTGACAAGATTTAGAGGCAAACTTTTGCTAAAATTTCGTTTAGCTCCAGTCCCACTGTCTACAGCATAGTGGCCAACCTGCGACACATGGCAGGTCACAGAATCACAGAAAATTCAAGTTGGAAGGGAGCTCAGGAGGTCACATCTAGTCCAACCCCCTGCTCCAAGCAGGACCAGCCCCAGCTACATCATCCCAGCCAAGATGTTGTCTACCCAGGTCTTAAAAAACCTCCAAGGATGGAGAGTGCACCACCTCTCTGGGTAACCTGTCCCAGTGCTTCACCACCCTCCTCGTGAGGAAGTTTTTCCTAATATCCAACCTCAACTTCCCTTGCTGCAACTTTGATCAGCAGAGATCAAGCAGCAGAATAGCAGGTAGGACAGGGAGTACAGAGAAGGAAGCAGAAACCAGAGCAGCAGGTTGGGCTGGGAAAGGAGATCAGAGTGGCCCTCGAGGCGGCTGCAGGGCTAATTTGTGACATGCCTGCCAAAAAGGTTGATCCCCGCCCTCCGTCGGTCTAAAGGCTCCAAGTCACTCCATGGATCTTACAAATGATTGTCAAATGCAAGGAGGTGCCAAAAACGTGCCCAATTTGCAGAGATCGACAAAGCTCACAAAAGCTTTTAGTTTAGAATTACAGATTGCAAAAATGATGATGATGATCATCATCATCATCTCAGTTGCACTTTCCAGATTAGGATACAGAACTGGAACTCAAGACCTTAATCCTACTCACAGCCCTGCCACTGGCCTGCGGAAACTTTGGGCAGAAAATACTATCTTTATCCGCTTCCCACTGAAAAGAGATGGAGTGGTACTGAGCTCCATTCTGTCAAGCCCTTGGTGATCTACTGATGAAGAACTAGGGATCATTACTGCTATAGCATCTAGGAGAGGGGGATGAACAAGTATACCATTTTAAGAGTAGGTGAGGGAGAAGGAGATGTATTGCTCTTTGATCCACAATAATTGCTTCATCTGTCAGCTTCTACCCCATGGGGAGTGGAAGGTAAACCAGACAACTATGTCACTTGTGGTAAGCTGAATTAATCATGTTTAGCTTCATTTGCTGCAAGGTTGGAGTGAACGGATGAAATGGTTACAGTGAGTCAGCTGACGTACACTCACAAATAGGAAATCCCCTTTATAACAGAATAATTGTTCACCCATCCCTGCCCCAACCACAGATCAGGACACTATAGTATAAGGTGCTATCCCTATAGAAAATCCATACTTCCTATAGAAAATTCATACTCCAATTTAGGCACAAAACGAGACAAGAAGGAACAGATGTATGGGCATTATGTTGGAAAAGCTAGATTTCATAAAATTATGGAGAAGTCGGGCTGGAAGGGACTTCCAGTGATCACCTAATCTAACCCTTTATCTGAGGCAGCATCATCCCTATCCAAACCAGCCCAGACAAATCCATAATCTAACCTATTAATAAAACTGCAGTCAACCCTGACAACACAAGACATCACACCCAACCTGCCACAGGTAAAGCAAGGGGGACTACGGCAGCCAAAGTCCTGCTGCTATGAGGGTTGTTAAAATACCTGAAGACCTGCCCTTTTGGTCTGTGGTTTCTTCTCTTCCTTCTCCTTGTCCCCACCCCACGTGCTGTTTTCTTTCCTGCATCAGCACAGAGGCTGAGAACCACCTACTAGTTTCCCAAACACATTTAGCAAGAGATGCAGCAACCGGGTTACACAACACTTGCATATTTGTTTTAACGCATGCACAGAGCAGGGAGCGCATGGGGGATTTAAGTGCTGGAAAATAAACACAGCACAGTGCTCATCACGCCAATTTGTGAAATGGGTTTGAAATGCATCTGAATGAGCTTTGACAGTACGGGCACAGAGCCAGCGAGATCAGCAGGATTTGTGCAACCGCAGCAGAACTGGTGCAAAACTCAGCCCTGGAAAGAGACTCATTCACATGTTAGCAGATCAGTCAAGACGGATTCCTGCTCCCAGATCTCCAACTCTTTAGGGGTCTGGAAGAACTGGACTAAACTAAGGATTACCTGGATCCAGATAGGAATGATCCATGGACTAAGAGGTGACCCAGCACAGGACTGTATTATATGAGCAGAAAAGAGCAACCATCCATTGCATCAAGTGCAGATCAGCTCACCAATGACCTTATGCATCAGTAGGCTTGTTATTACAGCTGGGTTCAGGGTGCATTTAAGGGAGAAAGGGTTGACAAAAAAGGTTGTCTAATGTCTCCTCCCAGCTCTGCTACAGACTCCCTACAACACCTTGGTCAAGTCACGTCGTTGCAAGGTCTTCACCTATGAAGTGGCGAAGCACCTTCCAATTTAAGCAGAGAGACTGGTGCTGTCTCTGGACACATCTACACACGGGGTGAACCATATGGGGTCCTCATCTCATAGTTTCTTAAGGCCCTATTTTAAATTAAATCGGAGGTAGAGGGAAGGGTGTGATCTGACAGTATGCTCTAGAGCAGTAAGGGCCAATCTTTCAGGCAGGCATGTCACAAATGAGCTCTGCACCCTCTCCAAGTGCCACTCTGATCTCCATCCCTGTCCGATCTGCTGCTCTGGTTTCGGCTTCCTGCCCCGTGCTCCCTGCCTGATCTGCTGCTCTGCTTTCTGCCCTATCTGCTGCTGTGCTGCCTGCCCCTACCTTTGCCCACCCCCCAACCCTGATCTGCCATGTGTCACACAGAGCTGCCCATGCCACTTCTGGCACCCGTGCTGTAGGCTGGCCACCCCTGCTGTAGACCAAGGAGCAGCCCCATTCTGGAGCTGGGGCGAGGGGCTTAGCTCTGAGCATGAACTAATTTCAACCCAACAGACACCACTGCATCCACCACCACCGCTACAGCCACTGCAAAACACCCTTCATCAGGCAGAGAGAGAGTCCCAGCCCTACACGCAGCACAGGGGGTCCAGGCACAGGCTGCACCCATGGGACTAGATGGATTTGACACCCCTAGGCTAGATGCTGCAAAATTCAAGTCCAGACATTTGCTTTTCTAAAGAACAGGTCTCAAATCCAGAGCTACAGTGTCTGGTATGGAGCACTATTCTCCGAGTATGACCAGGATTTAATACCCATGAGGAGTGCTTTCATGGTCCTTAGCCATGTTATTAAGGATATGCCCTGAAGTTCGCAGTGCAAACAATCCCACCACCAGCAGGTCGGAGAAGGGTGCCTATGGCAGACCGACAAAGCCCTGAGGACAGAAGGAAGTCGACAAGACAACCTGCTCCTATTCTGCCTGCAATCAGCCCATGCTACGATGAGTCCCATTCCTTTAAGATCAAAGAACCAGAAGCAAACACAAGTCCTTACTTGCCATGCGGTTTCCCCCAACACCATTCTCCTTCGTACGCCGCGTTCTTGAGCCTGCCCTCCATCTGGAAGATGTGCTTGAAACAGCGACAGATCGGAGGCTCGTTTCCTTCTCCAGCTTTGCTCCATAAAGGGAAGTCTCTCTTCCCGTTCAGCGCCTGACGCACCGCTTGACTCAGCTTCCACCGCCAGACAGCCTGGGGGCACAGAAGGAGGAGAGGATTTGGGCTACAGAAGGAAAGGAGGGGAAAAAACTGCTCATGGCAAGATGCAGTCCAGAAAAGTGAACAGAAGGCCATTTCCTGGCCCCCATATAGTCTATCTACCACTGGGTGTCTAGTTTATCCATCATCTGGTCATGTTGATTCAACACAAGGAAATCCCTCCTGGATATTCCTCTAAAGCTCCAGTGTTAAATGAAAGTGTTTAACACACCATCTAAAAATCTGACTGCCTTTAAAAGCAGGCTGTTTTGAGAAAATAAGATCTTTTATTGGACCAACTGCGCAGTGGGAGAGGTGACAGACAAACTCCCAACACCACAGTTGGCCCAATAAAAGAGATGGCCCCTAAATCCATTGCTTCTCACATATTCCCTGGACCATCACAGCTCCAGACACCACTTCTGCTCTACTCCATTGCATGGTGGCAGATACATGGTCTTATAATCAGGAGGAGCATGGAAGTCTTATCTTGACCAGCAAGGCAATGCAAGGTGGGATCCCAGGGAAAGGGATTTGATGTCAAATTTAAATGTCTTTTAATATTAAAGCTTCAATTACTTTCTCCCTCTCCCCTTCTTGTTAACAATCAAGTCATCCTCAATACCAAACATATCACCTCTTCACTAGCACTGCACTCACCCTTATCTGTGGCTCCTTGGTGGAGAGGAAGAACGTATCTTCTGGCGTAATGATGCGGAGACTATACCTGTGAAGCACAGGGCAGGGTTAGGCAGGGATAACAGTATATCAAGCCGACCCGCAAGACTTACTGCTTTTATGTGTTGAATCGATAAGCAAGGAACGGCAGTCTGGGGCTTGTGGGTGCCACGGCAGCATACCACTGATAGACTCCAAACCCAGGAGCGCTCAAGTGAGGTTTTTCCACCTCATCCTTCAAGCTAGCAGGAGAATAAGAGCCTAAGAGTGGGTGTTGGTGCTGAGCCTGCCTGGAGTGGCCTCATTGATGTCCTTCTAGGTTTGGAGTGCGCCTTTAGATGCAGATAGGCAGGAGTATTCAGCCGCAGCCTTGCCAGGTTCGGCCACTGGCATGGGATTGATAGAGCCCTTTGTTAAAGGCCAAAGCAACCATAGCACCATCTAACCTGACCTTTTGGTATATCACAGGCACAGGATGCCATTTGGGTACCCCTTCATGGAGGCTGACAAACAGATCTTCCAGAAAGGCTGCTTATCAAGGCCAGGTGCATTGAGGTGAAACAGGTCTTTCACCTTGGACATTTGTTCAGCCTCTGTGTGAGATGCATATCTCTTAAAAGTTGTTCTTCTTGCCATGTCTGCTAGATTAAATACTCCTTTAATCCAGTGGGCATATCTACACATGTGCATCTACTGCACAGTAACCAAAATCATTGCCCGGTACGGACACATGTCTACACATGCATGCCCATACTGCACAGTAAATATGGTGACTGATGCTGACTGGAGTGTAAATTTGATACCTGCATATCGTGGGTATTAAATTGACGTCCAGTTAGTTACTGTGCAGTAACACACATGTAGACACCTTACTGCTCAGTAACACCGTGTGTGCGGACTGATTTGGGACTAACTTTAGTCCCAAGTGCGACCACACACAGCATTAATGCACTTTAACGCCTGCACGTGTAGACTCCAGACTATTCCTACTTACTGCACAGTAAATTTAAGCCAGTGGATAGGCACGTGTAAACACTCCCAGTATTTTCTTCTTGACAATGTACTCAAAGAGCCATTGAGTCGTCTCAGTCTTTCCAAAGGAGCTCTTCTTTTTTTTAAGGTTATGCTTTGCTGGATGGCATTTTATCGATTCATTTTCAAGATGCCAATAAAAGCAAGCACTACAAAGGTATTAGCTGCCTGGAAAGCTGCCTGAAATGTGTAATAATCTCATATCCCACACCCGGCTCCTGCTCATATAGCCAAGAAGAAGAAGGAGATGGGGCACATGATCTCAAACACCGAGCTAACCCCCTTCGCCAAGCAGAAGCATTTCACTCACAGTTCTGGGGCCGGCTTCTCCCCGCAGGTTGCATCGACCCACAAGACCTTCAGATCAAAACTCTGAAAGCTGCTCCCCTGAGGGCCGCACAGAGAAAAGCAGATTGGTTAGGTTAGACAACATCACTCGGTCTTGGGCAACACTGCTGGCATTGATAGAGCAGGTCTAGCTTGGCACCTCGAACCTCCCACTCCACCTTCTCACCCTGATCGTCTCATGCCAACCTGCACTGGAGCAGGGAAAGCAAAGGAGGGATGGGCAGGAAGGGAATTAATTCTATTTAAGGCTTTATTGCGTATAATTTTCTAAGCTGAGCTCAAAACAATTGCAGGAACGAAGGCTTTGGCATGAGTTTTGTGCCTTTTCCTCTATCTGGGTAAGTCTAAAACTGCTAGTGCATAAACTACTTAGCTCAATGTCTAAACTCTTGTATATCTCACGGCGTAGCTGTAGCAACGAGACCAATGCCAGCTGCCCATCTATTTAATCAGCCTTTGGGGCAGGCTTGATAGCCCATGCTAGTCTATGCTACTCACAACTCTGTGTCCATCAGCACCTGACATAGCTAGTCTCCATTTAGCTTGGGGCATATCTGCACAGGATGCTGTGAATACCCCGAAGACCTTTCCTCACATCTATTTACACCTAGATCTTGAAAACTTTTAACCACTTGCATAAGCACGTACAAATCTGCCCCTAATATTAGCTTTCTTCTGGGCTAGAGCATGGGCCAACATTCATGCTGGACAGCCATGTACACACAAACCAGCCAGGAGCCTGGATTTATTAGGAAGGTATCAGTGGCAGCAATACACCACTAATGTGCTGGGAAAAAAAACTATTCTGCTGGTGATCAGAAGTGAATCCAACTCTGCTGTAGTTACCGAATCAACAGGGTAGAAAGTCTTAGCATATGCCTACGTTGAAAAGAGTCCAGGACTGACTCACCTGAACGAGTACTAGGGCATCATTGAAGAGCAGTACCTGGTCCGACCGGCCCGTACTGGCAAAAATTGGAAGATTTTTGCTGTCCTCCAGCAGCTTGCGCTCAGGAAGACAGAGTGCATCCTGGAAAGGGAAGACAAGGAGTTGTATGAGAAAGAGGTGAAACCCTCTGACTCCTGAAAAAGGACACTGATCAGATTAGAATTAGAGTATATCTTCTTGAAGCAAGACTCCCAGAGAAGCCAGTTGAGGTTTGAGCAGTGCTCCTCAACCTTTTTAGACTCAAGAGAGCCCTTGAAAAATGCCAGCTTTTAGTTTTCACTTCTTTTTTGTTGAAGGGAAACTCCTAAAGCAATCCTTCCATTGCAAGGAGCTCAGCAACTCCACAACAGGACAAAGTTTTTAACACTGGATTCCTGTTTGAAATCTCCAGGTTTATCTTGCAACTCATGCTTGTGCACCCAACAGTGCTAACATTGCATAGGTCTCCATAGCACCCTTGAAAGCATCCCAAGGCATCCCAGGGTGCCACAGCACCTTGGTTGAGCATCCCTGTGTTAACATATTCTCTACACAGGGTGCTGTAGTGCGGGGAGATTTTCCAACCGTTGGATGCCTTTCTGTGGTTAGTTTGGTTTCCAGCTATCCACAGCTGTAGGACCCCTATATAAGGAAGGTAAAATCAACAGAGGTTTAATTCCATCTTTGCTCCCAAGAACAACTGGGTTGTGTGTGCCTGGATGCACCTGACCTTGAGCAAACTTGGGGGCCTACTTCTAAACCAGATACAGGCCCAGAAAAAGCCAGAATACTTCTGGTGTGTTCAGGACTTCATTCATATCAAGGTTAGCCTCTTTCAATGGGAGGCAAAATGGCAACACCAGGAGCCTCTCACCCACTTCTCTTTTGAAATAAATTATGTATTTTCCCACCTACAAGATATCCCCCAATAAAATACGCAACTTGTTTCTGAATAGCAGAATGAAGGGGTGTGGGGAAGAGATAGTTCCTTGAGAGTTTCCGCTGGGGAGGAAAGAGAAAGCATCCACAGCCAATAACTTCTGCTTTTTCCTGGCAGAGACTGCCAGTGGTGGAAACTGCTTTTACTGTATTTCCTGGATCATAACTTCCAGCAGCTGAATTTTGGAGGAAAGGTGTATGTTGTATGTGGGAAGATATGGCACTTATCCAAATCCCTTAGACCCCATCCTGTAAGTTTACTTCTGGCGGGGCACGTCTACATGAGACACTTACTGCGCCTTGGCCTAATAATTGCGCACTAGCAATGGCGTGGCGGTTAAAAATTGTGCTAATCGCCTACTGTGCAGTACTACTGGTAATGTGCAGTAGGTGTCACAAAAAAACATGTGCTGGCACTATTGCGCAGTAGATGTAGTTACCGTGCATGTACTTAGTACTTCATTAAGCAAGTACTAAACTAAATGTGCAGCAACTAAGGCACATGAATGAATGTGTAGATGCCCCATGGAGACCCACTGAAAGAGACTTGCTTAGCTAGAGCCAGATCTTATTAGCCTGCCCATGAGCCCCATATTGTGGCAAATGGTCATGTCCAGGGAGAGGAAGACCTGGGTTTTCCATAAGCCTCTGGAGAAGCTGAAGGAGGAGAGGGGAGTGGGAGGGAGTAGCCGCATGGTTTGAACCCTTTAAACGGAGGCAGGATGGTCCTCTGGGAAGCAGGGTCCTTTCTCAATAAGGATGAAACAGAAGGAAAGCAGGGCTCCTGAGATGGGAGGCTTGACAGGACTCACAAGGACTGAGAAGGGTTTGTTTGATGTGTTGGTGAAGACGATAGTGGGAAGACCGGCACAGGAAACTTATGCTATCACTGGGAAGCAGGGACGTTACATTTGACTATTCAGAAAGCCAAATTAAACCCTGAGCATTCAGGAGGTCACTGCTCGCTGGGGATGTCTGAACAGACTCTGAGACAACGGCTACAGAAACTAACCCAAGATTGCAAGGACTCGCGTGTCCACCCTTTTGGCTGCCTGGAATCATAAGGGAGGCCTTGCAATGATCACATCTTTGGTAACGAAAAATGAAGCCCTCAATCACAGACAATGAGGGTTGAAGGGACCTCAGGAGGTCACATCCAGTCCAACCCCCTGCTCAAAGCAAGACAGTCCCCAACTACATCACCCCAGCCAAGGCTATGTTGAGCCAGGCCTTAAAAACCTCCAAGGATGGAGACCTCACCACTTCTCTTCTGGCACTCCACCACTCCCCTACTGAGAAAGTTTTTCCTAATCTCCAACCTCATCTTGCCTTGCTGCGACTTGAGCCCATTTTTCTTTTTCTTTTATTTGCAACCACTGAGCACAGTCCAGCTCCATCCTCTTTACAGCCTCCTGCAGGGAGTTAATCCATGGACGTTGCTAGTGCAAGTTCAATGCACTCTCCAGACCCTGCTGCTCTAGACCGCCAGCAGGCCCACAGGATGCCAGAGACGGGACAACCATCCAAGCCATATTTATGACTCACCGTGAGTTTGTGCCCCAAGGATTTCCACAGGGCTTTGGTCAAACTGGCTTCATCCAGCACTTGGCTGATGAAAGACTGCAGCTTTGCATATTCCTTGATGGCACTGGTAATCAGGTCTCTCTCAGGGCACTGCTGAGCAGGAAAAGAGAGTTTAGGAATATTTCGGCATCCGGCATATCTACCCCTTGCTACGTCCAAATCAGAAGAGCAGCCTTGGCAGCTCTGAATTGCCAGCCTGCGATTCCCTAACCTCTTAGGAGACCTTGTGGCCTCATCATTAGAGCAATGGGCTGTGGGTCAAGCCTCCTGGGTTCAAACTGTACTTCCAACGAATGTGTTACATTGGGCATTACTGTACCCCTACCATCTGTCAGACGTATGACTGCCAGAGCCATTTTACCCAGGATGTGAGCCTCTGAAGAGGGTCTGGGCATTTGGATGCTGCCAGATTCCCCGGCAGAAAGCTGCTCTGGGATGCACGTTGGCAGTGGTAGGGAATGAGTGACAGCTGTGTTAACCCCTTCACCACTACCGCCAAGGAGCCCTGTGGTCTGGGTCTGATAAGAAGCCCATTTGAATGAACACCTTTGGTCTATGTGATGTGGGTCCTATCTTTTTCTCTTATACGACCAATACTTTTACTGTAAAATGCTTAAAGACCCTGAAGCAGAACAAATAACTCACACTGATAAAGGACCACCACCTGGAAAACCCCATTAATAAGTATTTCGGTGCAGATGTAGGTCATCTTTGTTATCAAAGCCCCACAGCTCTGGAATGAGACTGTCCCGACATGCAACGGTTAGTACCTTTCCGGTGGCCTCGCTCAACCTGGTAAGGATGAGGGAATACTGCTGGACGTGCTCTCGGATGGGTTTCTGGAGGATGGTATGCAGGGCCAAGGATACGGAGGTCTCTTGGATCCCATCTGTGAGAAATTGCTTCAGCGCTGTCTTGTGATGCTTCCAAGCTTCGCTATGGGATTGAATCATGGCACAACTTCATTATCCAGTGGTATTATTCAGCCCCCCACAATGAAGAGCTCTGCTTTTTTCCATCTATCTAAATGACTAGGCGACACGGCAGCCCTGGGAGACTTGGAGATTATTAGAGGACAACTCTGGTGAATATACCACACGACAAGCGTACAGCATTCAGGCCGTGTTATAGTCCAGCAAGCGAGCCGCTGGACTGCAGGCCAATATGGTGCACCTCTATTAGACTGCCACTGAGCTGCTGTTTATCCTTTGGGGGGAAAAAATCCCTTTGCAAAGGAGGGCAAATCAATTGAAAGGTGCTCCCAAAATAGTACCCACTATAGCATTACTTCCCCACTGACTGAATTATACATGAGGGACAATACAGCAGCAAACCAATGCTGATCAAACAACTCAGATCAAACCCTAAAACCAGAGGAGTTCAGCAATTTAAAACAATGCAACCTTTAGTACCACCGGCACATTTTTCAGTTCAACCTTCAGCACCACCAGCAATTTTTTGTCATATAAAGTAATTATAATCTGTTCATGCATACCATGGGCAGGTTGTCTGCATACTAATGGTGGTACGCGTACCGCCAATTGGGAACTGCCACGCCTTAATACTAGTGTTGAGTGCTTATTTCCAAGTTAACAGAAACCTTATCAAAATCCTTCTCCTCTAACCAAACCTATCAGCACTGACACCTTGCAGTGACCATTCTTGCAGAGGAGACTAGCATCTCCCCTACACTACTATGAGGTGTACCATTTGGACTCATCCTTCAGGACAGAAGCACATCAGCACCACTACACTGGGATCAAGGAGGATCAAGCCACACACAGCCTGGTGTTGTGCCAAAATAAAGGGGTATGTCTTAAAAAGGAAGCAGCTTCTCACTTAGCCCCACCTAAACAACCCAGGAGCTGGACCAGTTCAGCCTGGTCAGATGAAGGACTTCATTACAGGAGTAAGAAAACCCATAGTCTGTCCAAGCCTGGAGAGAGAGGGGCACATGCCCAAATCCACCAGAGAGCTCAGATGATCAGACTTGCATTCAGTGCGAGAACAGGGTCTTTGGTGGTTCAACAAATGATATTCAAGGAGCATGAAATAGCCTGAGAGTCACAAAGGTGGCACTATATCATGAAGCAGCAGGCACCACTTTCTAGCTGTGGCAGATGATTTTAAATTAAGATAGATGGTGAATGTGATCAAGTTTGGGAAGTGGGGAAGAAGCCACGTGTTTAAAACAGAAGTCATTCACCCTGGTGTGGGTCAAGATGATGTTGTTATGACTCAGCATTGTACCACGATGACACAGCAACGCAACCCAGAAGCAACCTGCATGGAAGTTGGCAGGACGTGCAGACTCACCATGACATTGGGATCACCGCAAGACAGGGCCCCCATGCCACCTCTTTGATAGACAGGCTGGGTCACGAGATGATGAAGCCTTTTCTCCCTATATATCATCAGTGCCTTGCTCACTGCCTTTCTCTTATCAGTCATGGGACCCCAAGACCAGCCTAAAAGTCGCACTCCATTATAACTCCACCATTCAAAATGGATTTATTACCTTAATGCTGGACAGGAGATCAATGAGTCTAAGCCACTAACCTCCTATTCTTTGCCATTATAATTCCACCATTCAAAATGGATTTATTTCCTTAATGCTGGACAGGAGATCAATGAGTCTAAGCCACTAACCTCTTATTCTTTGCAGCTTGGTCAAAGCTCTGGACTACAACACAGTTTGAAAAAGTTGTGAAGTACCTGTTGGTAAAAAAAAATACAGACAAAGTTAAGTTAGGACTTAGCTACCAGGTTTCAGCAATGCTGGTGGTGACTTTGAAAGTCTGTGCCAGCTCGCTCCATACCCAGAGAGGCAGATGGAGACAGGGCCCACCACATCCTATCTTGTAAGTCACTCCACAGGTTTCACCCACGTTAGGTCCTCTCCAGTGTCTCCCCACCATTAAGATATTCTCCTGACACGCCACCTAACACCCCTTGTGCTCATACAACAGCAGTCCTAAAGAACTAAATGGTGGGGAAAGGACTATAATCCCAGGTCTAAACATGCAATTTTCTGTCGCTCAAGATCAAGGACCAGGGCTGCACTCAACACAGACTCAAAGTAATGTGCACGGTTTTGCCACTAGAGGGGAAGAGAAACATGCTTTGTCAAGAGTGTGCAATGGGGAGTGTCACTGGGTATTTGAATTACCCTGGCTATTCTGCCAGGAATTTAATCAGCATTTGTGAGATCCATTCCCATCCCATCCCACCTCCTTCTTGCTGCTTCCCAGAAGCTTGAAAATCCGTGGGCTTTGTAATGGGGCGGCCCCCTTAGGCACATGCACACACAAGGGCACACTAAAGTCAGATCCATCTGATCAGGACAAAGACCACAGGTGTCAGCGCAAAAGCTAGGCAGACAGCCAGATGCTGTTTGGTGGGAAATGCAGCAAGTACAATTTTTCAGTCCGGAATGAAAATGGTTTTTGGAAACGAGATTCCAGATGTCTTTGGGGTGGCTCAGCACATTGAAGTCCAAGCTTGACCTTTACACACACACCACTTTTCAATTCCTTTTTGATACACACACACACACACACACACACTTTTAAATTCCTTTGTATACCAGAACAATGAGCTTTGCTCCCAAGGCGACTTCCAAACATATCTGAAGTTTTCTGCTGCAAAATTGGAGATTTCAACAAATCATAAAAAAAGGAAGACTGCCCCCCAAAACGGAACTGCTGAAAGCAGCACTTCTGTATTTTGACCACAACCCACACAAATTCAAATGAAAAAAGCCACACAGTCCTTGGTTAATGTCTAATCCTGGGAGGAGGGAGGGAGTCTCCAAGCAGATGTGGCTCCCAGTCCAAGCTGCAAGCTCAGGCCCAGTTACCTAGATAAACTCAGGCAATACCAGGAGTAGGGCATAGTATCTATTGCTAAGAGCATCTCTAACATGTAGCACACCGCCGTGACCGAGCTCTACAGTTCATCTCAGTTGACATTTGAAATCATAGACCATAGCAGGACCCCAAACCTGCTAACACTTATTCACACTTACCCCTGACAGCTGTGTTTCAACAAGTCCTAGTGATAATTGTTACTCCATCATGACGTGCTACAAGCCAGTCTCTCAATAGATGTTTCCATCTACCCATACATCCTCCTCCTGTAAACCACTCCACTGTGATCCCAGCAACACCTTTACAGGCTCGTGGCTCAGAGACATCGATTATTTCCCTGACACTCCAGGTTTGTTTTTTTTTAATTTCTTGTGCAAACATGATCACAAGAACATAAGGAAGCTAAACCTTCTCCGAAGCAATAGCCACTGCTAGAGAAAGGACACCCATTAGATCATCCAATGCTAATCCTATAGTCTACCTGTTTGCTCCTATAAGCTACCTTGCAAAGACATTATCTATACTTACTGGATGTAGTGCTTAAGAAACAGGTCTGCCTTCCAAATGATGTAGATGTCTTGGATGTGGAAGGACGTGGACGTGCTGAACTTCTGCCATAGTGCTCGGTGGTGGTCCTCCGTCACGTCCCAGAGAGCGTGGAATCGGTCGTTCAACAGCAGCAGGAGTTTGAAGTTTTCTTTTCCTTTCTGATCATAAGGCTCTTGAAAAGAGGGAGCGGGGGGAAAGGACACCACAATGTCTAGAGCAGTGGTTCTCAACCTCCTTCACCTTGAGGGACCCCTGGGAAATGTCAGTTTTCACTCCTTTTTTGACGACAGAAAAGTTAGTACTTTTGTGTAGTACTGGCAGGGTTGTAGAAAGCAAGGGTGTTTTCTTTTCTGTTGCAAACAACTCCAAAAGACCATAACTGTGGCTTCCTATTTGAAACCTCTGGGTGGATCTTGTGAATCATGTTTGCAAACCTAATAGTGCCAAAGTTGTGTAGCACCTCGTGACAGCCTTGGAAGGATTGCAAGGAAGCCTAGGGTGCTGTGGTGTCCTGACTGAGAATCGCTGGTCTAGAGACTGCATGTAAGGCACAGATAGGACTGGAAGGGACGTCAGGGTTTATCTATCTAGTTCACCCTGATGCACACAGTAGAGTACATTAGTCTGTTTGCCAGTACATTTTATGCCTCTTCATATGCAGACAGGCATTTGACACGCTGACTTGTTGCAAGAGGTGTCCCTGGGCAATCCCCCAGCCATTAGACACATTTGTGTAGCTCCATCAATGGTTATGGAGCTGTTTATACTGGCTGAAAACCTGACTCCACGGGTTATATTCCCACACCAGAGTAAGACAGGAGGAACACAGGGGAGGGGACTTTGTCAGGAGTGAACTGTCAGGACTTTTACTCTCCAGACTGACGGCAAAAGCAAGACTGTGGATTGCATTTAAGCCAGGACTGTCGGTGGCCAGGAGAAAGGAAAGGGTCACTGTTTAAGATGCACCATGTCTCCGATGGTCTCACTATACCTTAGCTTCCAGGACAGCAACAGAAAGCACCTCGTGGTCCAAGAAAGAGGTCACTCACAACCTACAAACCTCACTATCCAGTTTGGGTCTAAAAGCCATTTATGCCCATCCCCTTCTGCGATAACCTACCCCAAAAGCTCTGCATTCAGATGACAAGCAGCAAATCATTATGGGAAGAGGAGGGGGCTTACCTGCTTGCAACATAGGCTTGAGAATGATGGAGTCGATCCGGGCTAGACAAGCCGAGAAGGTTTCTTCCGCTCGCAGAAGTGACGTTATTCCTTCAGCAGTGCCCATGTCCTGAATACGACACACAAGAGAATTACAGAGATCCCAAACAATTCATATTGCAGTCCTTCCTATAGCCAAAATGTGCCCTTCATTGCCCAGTCCCTACCCTAGGAACTAGTCAGACACACAGCACTAGTAGCATGCATTAGTTGCTTCGGGACTTTATAGTAAGGAGCAAACATACAGAGGCTTGTAGTAGATGCTGTTACAATAAATGGGGAGTAGCCCAGTTTGCTTGGAGCAAACTCTCCTCCAGGATTAAATGGACTAGAGAAGCAGACACATGGCACTTGCAAGAAGTAGCTTTACCCTGCGTTCAAGTGAGTCGCCATGTAGCAGGGCCCTGTGTCGAAAAGTCGAGCCCAAGTTATTTCTACAAGTGCTAAATTCACATTCCCAACCGAAACCCATGTATGCACAAAGCAGCCACACCGAGCATCAGACCCCGCTTCCTGCCTCAGATTATCTAATGCCAGCATGCAGAAGCCCACCTCCGCTGGAAGCCAGAAGACAGCTCTACATTGCCACAAAAGCCACCTACCGCCACAGCGGCTCTGCCCACATCCCACTTCTTCAGGGGAACAGAAAACCTCCCCTCCTCTTCTAAGCACAAACTAGCTACGTCTGGCACCCGAGAGGATTTGCCCAAAATGGAAGTACCAAGCCGCAGCGGTGAACCCACGTGAACACATTCCCAGGGCTTCCTCCTTTTCTAGACAGAGATAAACATGCTTGAGAAAGCAAGCATTGCCAGCTAACGTCACAGAAGACTAGCAGGGAAAAGAGCCAAGGGAAAGAAATGCAGGGTGTGGTTTGCAGATATTGCTAACCAGAAAAAAAAATGCAACTCTGAGGGCATGGACAGATGTACAGAAGGGGAAAACCTGCCTTTCAGGAGCACAATTCAGCGTTAGCTGTCATGGTGTAAGTGTTTCTTCTGTTTGTTCCTAACCTGCAGTGATTTACCCCCGACTGAAACAGGGAGGAAAGTTACTGCAGTTTAGCTTCACTTTGGAGGGGGCAGATGGAAGAGGTACACCTCACTCAGATGGACAGCAGGAAGCTGCCCACCTTTCCAGCCCCTGCCCCGTGCCTTGAGATCACTGCCATATGAAGAAGCACCCGTACAAGCCTTTTTTTATTGGTATGAAGGCGAGCAATGAGGAGCTGCCGCTTTGAATTGCTTGGTAGATCTTCACATGTTAAGTGCGAACAACATTTCTCCCCACCCCGAGAACGTGGATGAGTTGATCGAAAAAGAAATGCCTGTCCGACCACGCACACAAATGACATCTTAATTGCTCCCTTGCCGTTTCCTCGTGTTCCTCCTAGTTCAACATCCTGCGACTATCACGGGGTAATGTGCAATTAGGGTGAGCACCCATCCCTAATTGGGCAGCACAGTCCCAGAATGGGATCAAGTCCCAGTGCCTTGGCTGCCTGAGTCCAGGACCGCGTTTGTCCCAGATTTGCAGCACTGTGCAGGGATCAGGAAACAGTGGGTTCCCCCTTGCAGGCTGGCAGCACTCCAGCCTGCATGGGCTGCTTGGGGCTGCCAGGAGCGGGACACAGAGGATGCCACGTGCATGTGCGGGCCCGCACACGTGCATATGGCCAGGAAGGCAGCCGGGCAGTGTAGAGAGCAGCTCCCTGCATGTAAGTCTATGGGAGGCCCCCACGGTGAGGGAGTGGGGTAGGGGTAGGGCCGTGTGTGCAGCCTGGGGCTGGAATAGATCTCATCCAGGGGACATGGGGAGCATGTGCCCCTAAATTTATCTGTGGGGCAGAGGCAGCCCGCTGCAGGCTCAGGGCTCCCCACCCTGCTGCTTTTGCCCTGGGAGCCCCGTCCCATCCATGCACCCCGTGCCTGCCCAGCAGCAGTGGGGGCAGTGGTAGCATGAATTTGTGCCCCCCCACTGCTGCGGGGTGGGCAGGGGGCACACGGACGGCACAGGGCTCCCAGGGCAGAAACAACAGGGCAGGGAGCCCCGAGCCCGCAGCAGACAGCCCATATCCACCCCTGCTCGGCTGCAGTGAAAAGGGGGCTGGGGGGAAGAAGGAGAGGCAGGCACGTGTCCCCCCTTCCCATTTTGAAAAGGTGGTCACCCTGCATGCAACAAACACACCCACTCACTGAAAAAGGTGCTGAGGCAGCTGCGCCCATCCAAATGCACTTTGCTACCCTTTTTCATTCGCTCCCCGCCCCCTCCCCCCCAACACCTCTATACTATTTAAGGAGAAACTTCATTTTTTTTTGCCTAGAGAACTTCAGCCTGTTCAGCAAAGCACTTCTGCTTCAAGACCGAGAATCGGTGTATAAAGCTGGTGGGGAGAACTTTTAATTTTGCTTTCTAATGCATTTTGGCCAAAGCAAGCAGCCTGCTGAGAGAGGCTAGCTTCACAGAGCGAATGGACAGTTGTGTGTGGTTAACAAGCAGAGATTTAAAATCAATAAGAGTTTATTTTGTGGGCTGAAAGGTCATCCTTTCCGACGCCTCTGCTACAAACCACTCCAACGTCCCTCAAAATGTCCTCTACAGCACTCGCTGGAAATTAAGTACATCTGGTGCCTCCTTTCTGCCCCGCAGCCATCGGAGATAAGCCAGAGGCTGGATGTCAAATCTGAATGACCCTCCTCGAGCCGTCACCACCTGCAGCATTGGCAACCAACCTGGGTTGTCCAGGGCTGTGATTTCAGTACTCTTCCCTCTCCCGTACTCCGCTAGTACCATCCACTCCTCTGAGGAAAGCTTGTGGGTGCTCTCTCTATTGTGTATGTGGCAAAAGGTTGGGTAGATACACACTTTACAGACTAACTACTGTACATAAGAGCTATATGTGTGTATAATGTACATACCGTGTGTGTGCGCACACATATAGATATCTATATATGTCTACACATATCTACATATACATATCGACACACACGTGTGTATACACGATATATGTGTGTGCACGTGTGTACGCATATGTGTGTATGCATATATGTGTATATATACGTGTGCATGTGTGCGTATGTTTGTGTATGTGTACATGTGTGCATGTGTATATATGTGTCTATGTATGTGTGTGCATGTGTGTATATGTTTGTGTATGTGTGTATGTGTGTGTGCATATATGTGTATATATGTGTGCATGTGTATGTGTGCACGTGTGCATATAGGTGTGTATGTGTATATATGTTTGTGTATGTGTGTGTGCATGTGTGCATATATGTATATGCATATATATGTGTGCATGTGCATGCACGTGTGTATATGTGTATATGTGTGTACATGTGTGTATATACACATGTGTATATATATGTTTGTCTATATACATGTGTATATGCATGTGTATATATGTATGAGTGCATGTTCATGCACATGTGTATATATGTGTGTATATATATATGTGTGTGCGCGTGCATATGTATGTGTGTATGTATATACACATTTGTATATATATGTTTGTGCGTGTGTATATATGTGTATGAGATTGTATGCGCAAACACCCCCCCCCCCTTATTTATTTAGTCTGTAAAGTGCAATCTCTACCCTATCTTCTGCCATTCATTCAGCCAGCGGTTTGGTGAAGATTTAAAGCAGCCCTTCTCACTTCACATGCAGCTGTTAGCTGGCAAGGTCATATGATCTAAGGAGACTAAAAAGATAATGGAAGGAATTCAGCCCCCCTTTCTTAAGGTCATTAGTTGGAGTCATTTACTGGAGCAATTATTTGAGTATGGTGTTTACTCACCCCTAGACAAATGGGATTTCAAAGCAGTTGCCATTGTGCCATCCGAATGATGACTCAGGGCCGAACCGTAAATAGCCAAGGGGGGGTTAAGGGCAAGCAGAGGTCACATGCAGCATTTGCACATTTTAGGAACTGAATGGGAGCTGCGGCAAAGCTGAGCATCAGCAGAGTGCCTCGGGTCAGGCGAGCGGCTCCTCTGGACAGAGGGTTCACAAGACTCCCTTGTTCTGCCGAATTAATAAAGGCAACGTGGGCTAAGCACCCCCAGTCTGCTGAAGTCTGCTCCTGGCGTTAACCGCTTGCCTTTGAATGCACGAGGAAATCTCAGTCACCCATGGGTTAAGTTGCTTTATGATCCTGATTGCCATATTTTCTGTGGTTCTTACTTTCTGTACAAGTCCATCTTAATAATACAGCCATAAATTGTGGCTTTTCCAGTTGTGTGATTTAGCACTGGGGAGAGGAGATGGAAGGATAGGAGTAGAGGGAGCTTCCCAAACACATTGCCCTCCCTCAATCCTGCTTGGGAACTGGATGGATAGATGATGGGGAGCTTTCTCCGAGGGGAACGGAGGACATCCAACCCCACGGCCCACCAAGTTTTTGGCCTCTCTGCCGAAGTATACCAGGTACCCTCTGGCACCAAGAGGGACGGGGAGGCTTGAACCAAGACTAAGTCATCTTCCAGTGGCCAAGCATCCATTAAAGAACAATCCTTAATCCAACCTGAGCTGGTGATCAGGTCCTATTGTATGTGGATCAAGGCACAACAGAGCTGTCAAACTTGCACATCAAGAGGCAGAGGCCTCGACAACCCTAAGAGAGGTGAGCAACATACTAGACTTGTTCTGCGGAGATCAGAGAACAATAAAGAGAGGCACGTCTGATATTTTCAGCAGAAGAGATGAAGATTTTGCTTCCACTAATTTGCAATCCTATGCCTCTTGTTCCATTAGCATCACGACTGGGGAAAAACCCCCCATAGACATCAGACAGGAGTCAAAGCCCCTTGTTGAATTGCTTGTCCTCACCCCTTCTGTTACCTTCGCACCTATGATGACATTTTCAGATGGGGACCATCCGCTCTCAGCACAAAATGCCCCACTTCTGCCCTTGAATCCTTGCTTTATCTCAGCTGCATTTCCAAATCTAGTGGAGCTTGATGCTTAAAGATCATCCCAGACAGAACTCATGGTCCATGGGTAGAAATAGCACCAGGTGCTTTAGTGTCTAGGCACGGTGGAAGGTGTCCTCTATCCAAAGCGGGGGTGCCAACAGCACATCTGTCCCCAGCACTTTCTGTGCTTTAAACTCCCCGTGTGAAACGTCACAGCTCCACCCCTCCTGACTCATTTTTTTCCTTGGAAGTCATTGCATCATCCCAGTGCTCTCTGCTCCAATGACTGCCAATTCATCAGCTTTAGTTCATCCACTTCTCAGACTTTCTGCAGTCTTGTTCCCGTCCCATCCTACGAAGATGTACCATCCTCCCTGAGCTCGGGGATGCCGCCCACGTGACCCTCTGGACCCAACCTCATCAGCACCTGACAAGGAATGACCCCGCTTCATTTGTCTTAAGCAAGCTCCTCGCCTCCCTAGAGGGAGGGATGAGGACCCTTGGATTCAAGCTTGGCGTTGGTGGAGAGCATCAAATGCAAATACCTAGGGAATCTTACTATGGGCATTTCTTCATGGCAGAGTTAGCTCCAGGCTCTTACTGAGGTGTTGACCCTAAAAGCTTGTTACCCGAGTACCACGATGCTGCCAACTCAGGTTTGCTCCACAGATCACAACTCTTCTCACCCCACCGTTGCATTTCAGTTTGCAGCACAGGTGTCCCGTCTTGCAAATGCACTCAGGTCCATGCATTACTGTCACCTAAAAGTATGTTGGCACC